GCAACGAAGTTCTGCTCTCTCAGAGATGACAACTTTTGACATCAAAGTCCTACACAACATTTGTGTCTCTCTAAGGAGAAGTTACAGGTGTGTTCTCTGACAGAAGGTTGTGCATGAGGAAGGAATGATGAATTGTATATCCCGTTTCTAGATATGCCGCAGACTAAATGGTGTTCGATTTACAAGCTGTAAAAGTGCCAAGGATAGGACTGCCATGTCGGTCACCCTAGAGCAGTGTTTGATCCTACAGCATGAACATGGAATGGCTCCACAGGTCTTCACCCAGGCTCTGGAGTGTATGAGGAGGTAAGAGTTTGACTGCGTCACTTATTCCTAAATGAGGAACCATGCAAACTGCAGAGTAGCAGTGGTCTTTGTTTCTATCAAAAGGAAAAAAAAGTAAAATAAAGTCAGAAAACTGGAAAACTGACTGCTAGAATTCATCCCTCCCTTGCATGTATTAGTGAGGTGCATATGCTAAAGCTGGTTGTTACCAGATTTGCATCAGATGGGCTTTAGTTTTCTGTAATGAATCAGGAGTTTTCAGAAAAGCATGTAAAAACGTGTTTTCAATTAATGCTGAGCTTACAGAACAGGAAACTGGTGCTTCTTTGAAAGTTGTTTAACGGTGAGGTTACCTGAACTGTCATAGCACTGGGTTTCTTAGTTCTAGATCAGGCACATTTCTCAGGGATGACCTGTCTTTTGTTCTTGGAAACATAGACACCTGCAGTTTGCACTGGTTTGCCACGTGTATTCTTTAGCAGTGAAACACTGCTCATTGGGTGAAATGTCAGTATGAGTGTTTCACAATACAGCAACCAAACTTCATCACAATGTGTCAGTGTGCTGTTGTCTTATCAATATAATGATGTTCTGTATTCTGAAGCAGCAGAGATGTTTGCAGAATTAAATACTGTACTAAAAAAAAAAAAAAAAATCTGTTTACTGTTGTTCAATGCCTTGTTTCAAGCACTGCTGGAAAACTCCGTAACTCACATACCAAAAGAAAGGATAAGAAATCTAGCTTTAGTCTTTATCGATGTAGTTCAACAATGCTGTTCAGTCCTGTTTTTCAACATTCACTCTTACTGAATGTACTGTACTGTGTGTCTTCTCACCAAATTCTGTAGAGTGTTCAATTCTCTTATCCTTTCTGTATGTTTTTGCTGTTTGACCCTTTCTTACTCTTCAGTTACCTAGAAGGAAAATGTCTCATTATTAACACCTGCAGCCTCTTACACTAACCATTTGGGGTTTATATCTACTTCTAATTGGATATCACTGGACTTTTTAATTTTCACTTTTTGCTGCATTATTACAGAGTTAGTACAGTACATGAAAACTGCATTCAGAGACTAATTAAACCTTGATGTTAGAACAAAACTTGAAACAGCTTTGTGAGGGAGAAGTTATTAACTTAAAGTGGAGCTAAGTGGCTCTCAAATATCTTTATTTAAATTATGCAACTTGTCGACTTAGACATCTGAAAAAAAAAAAGCTTTGTTGCACAGTTGTTTATTTAGTAAGAATAAAAACTGAGTACAATACTAGGAATCTTGTTACTTTCTTTAAATTTGTTACTGAGTTAATGGGGTTTTTTAATGCAGTTGTGGACACAGTAGAGACAGAGGTCAATAATAACATTGTTTTGGACCTTCAGACTATCAATTTAATATAACACAGGATCAGATAAAATATTGACCCAAGAAATGCATTGCTTTATGTTGACCTACACAGGGATATTGAAAGAGGGCCAATTTAATCAAAACCTTTGGCTTATGTTCTAGCAATATCACAGACTTGCTGTGACAGGTGAAAGAGGTGACTTTCTCCAGTTAAATCTCTGACTAAGAGAGATTGTGCAGAACAAATACCGGCTAGTCCTGAAGGAATAATAAGATTAGACCATGCTTCAAGCCTGTCACTCTTTCTTCCTCACATCTCATTGCTTTTCAGGGTAGGTAGTTGTGTTTTATAATTATTTGCCAATTCTGCTCAGGAACAATGGCGCAGAATTAACAAAGCTTAACGAGAGAGAGAGGATTACAGAACAAATATGTAGGAATCCAACTCCACCCAAGCCCATTTCAGGATGACCTAACCTAGATGACAGACATAGGAAGTGAAAGGGTAGCAAATTACTTCTAGGGCATTCAGAAAACTTGCTTTTTCTTTTAACTTGGATCTTTTATTTGTGTAACTGTGCCGGAAAAGGAAAGCTTAGTTCAGTCTTGAAGACTACTGAAGTTTCAGGGGCAGCAGGAAGGACAGGGAAGAAGTGCTATTAAGTTGTGGGACTCAAAGAAAGTATTTAATCTCTTCTCTACTGTTAACTTTCCAGAGAAGAAAAGCATCCTTGCTTACACTGTTTTGGAAAAATTAAGAAAGCACCCTCTTCTTCCATGTGATGTTGGTTGTCAGAGGTGTTAGCTCCTGCTTACTTGTCCTCAGGGACTCCCTTTCTTTCCTAGTCTTGTGATAATTATGTATCTCTGATAATTATATTCAGTGAGCATGGATATCAGGGAGAGAACATTGAGTGCTCATTGTAGATTCTTGTAGAAATTCAGATACAAGTTTGTGACTTTCACCTTAGAAACAAATACCCTATTAGAATAAACTCACTTTTCTGTAAATAAGTTGCAGCTTTTCCAGTCCCAAATCAAATATATGGTAGCTCACAGCTTACAAATAGTAAACTCATGATGATATATCTGGAAGTCCAAGCTACAGAGGAAATTACTTCTGGCCAGTAAAGGCAGCTCAAGAGTCAAAGTCCCACTGGATCATATAGCCTCTTCCATCCACAGCAGTGCCAACCCTCCCCGCTAGACCTGTGACTCCCTGCCCTCCCTCCCCCTACCAGATTACTGTCCTGTCAGACAGGCCAGTGGAGCTGTTTGTGTGAATATGCTCTAATCCACTTTCACTCGAAATCAGCATGGGTAGCAAAATCCTTTACACGTTTAAGGTAGCCCAGCTCACTTCCATTAAACCGATTAGGAAGCTGCGACACAAGCAGTTCAGCCAACAGAAGAGAGCTGTGTCTGATAGGGGCTCTTGAAAAGCAGCTGGAAATGGGGTAAGGGAAATAACCTCTTCTACCTGCCATGGTGCTGACTAAAAAGACTAAATAATAAAGCCCTGACAGTCATGTTTGGATATGACCACTCACTGCAATAAAACAGCCATGATAAAAAGCTTGATTGGATTTCTTTACTGGTTGACCTGCTTTAAGACTAAAATTGTGGTGGGTTGACCTTGGCCACCTGCCAGACACCCACCCAGCCACTCTCTCACTCCCCCTCCTCAACAGGACAGGGCACAAAATATGACGAAGAAGCTTGTGGGTTGAGATAAAGACAGGGAGATCCCTTGCCCCAGTTACTGTTATAGGCAAAACAGACTTAGAGAAAACAAATTTACTGCCAATAGATTTGGATGGTAAGAAACAAAGACAAAAATTAAAACACCTTCCCTCCATGACCCCTTTTGTCCCATGCCCAAGTACATGACTCCTTTGTTCCCAACTCCACTACCTCCTCCCCACACTGAGCAGAGCACAGGGGATGGTGAACGGGGCTTTGCAGTCAGTCCATAACAGCTCCTCTCTGCTGCTCCTTCCTCCTTACAGTCTTCCCCGACTCCAGCATGGGTCCTTCCCACAGGCTGCAGTCCTTCAGGATAAACCTGCTCTTGCATTGGCTCTCCACGGGCTCCAGTTTCCTTCAGGAAATATTCACCTGCTCCGCCACGGGGTCCTTCATGGGCTGCAGTGTGGCTATAAGCTCCACTGTGGTCATCTCCACAGCTGCAGGGGAATCCCTGCTCCAGCACCTGGGGCACCTCCTCCCCTTCTTCCCTGAGTTTTCTCACGGTTTCTCCTATCTTTTCCCATCACTCCTCACTGCCATGCATTGTTTTACATATGCTTTCCCTGTGGCACCACTGGCGTGGCTGAGGGGCTCAGCTGTGCCTGCTGTGGGTCCACTTGGGCCAGCCAGAGCCAGTGGTGTCCAGCCCCAGCCTCTCCTCACAGAGAGGATTCCCATAGGCAAGCTGGATTAGCAGGGAATTTGCTTTGTCTCTTTACCCTGGTCCTCTCCTAGGGGTAGTCTGCTGACGGATGTTTTGATTTAAGATACTGTACAATTTAGTGTATTTGGTATTTCCAAAAGGTGATTTTTCACCCCTTGGATGGAAGCATCTACGTGGGCCAACAGTGACAAGGAGAGCACTTTCCAGCTCTTACCTCCATTCCCACTGTATGTGTCTGTGCATATGTCTTTGTGTAAAATTGAGTAGCTTGATACTAATTTTTAATGGTAGAGATGTGGCGTGTGATGTTCATAACGTCATCTTGTCATTTTGAGCCTTTCTTCCTTCTTTCCCTCTCCCATTGTTTTACTTACTTATCTATATCCTAAAACACTTTTCTTCCTCCAGACTATTCTGTTGAGCCTTTATCCACCACTGTCGAGTTAACGTTAGCTTTCCAGTTACTGGTTCTCCTCATCATACACACACACACTTCCCCCCGCTACAAAGATAATTGGGATTCGTAGGCAGCACAGATTCAATCTGCCCTTATCCAGTGTAGGCACCAGGAGTGAAAACACATTTTGATCACCACTTTGGATGTGTTAATCCAGGTCAGAAATACAATTGTTTTAGTTCCTTGCCCACCTAATTCCATTTGACTTGAAGTGTCACCAGCATTTGAAGGCTATTTTTCTCTTTCAGCACCTCGAGGTATCTCTGATATCTTCCAAGACACTGTCTGTCCGTTACCTAACCTCGCTACACAACCAGCAAGGTTATGTATCACCTTT